TTAGAGCAGGACTGTTCATTGGCACTGGCTGCTTGACCTCCATGTGTTTTACCTCACCTCCAAGTGCTCCTCCAAGTGCTCAGAGCAGTCACAGGGTCCAGACACCTGCTGGTGACAGAGGGACTGCCAGGTCCTGCCAGAGGGAGACGGCGGCTGCAGGGAGCGAGGCAGGGTCAGGTGTGTGGTGGGAACAGCACAGGAGCTTGAGAGGAAGCAAAGGGCATTAATCCCCTTCTTCCCAGATCCCTGTTATCACCCTCCACAACTCCCCAGCATCAGGCTGCAGCCAGGTGGGGATTGGTCTCTCTCCCAGGTAACAAGCGAGAGGACAGGAGGAAATGGCCTCAAGTTGCACCAGGAAAGGTTTACATTGGCTATTGGGAAAAACGTTCTTCATGGAAAGTGTTGTCAAGCCCTGGAGCAGGCTGCCCAGGGAAGTGGTGAAGCCACCCCCTATCCCTGCAGATATTTAAGAGATGTGGCACTTGGGGACATGGTTTAGTGGTGGACTGGCAGTGCTGGGTTAATGGTTGGACTTGGTGACTTTAGAGGTCCTCTACATCCTAACAATTCCATGATTGCTTCCTCTGGCATAATAGCAGCCATACCCTCCTCCTCCCTTCTGCAGCTCGTTCCTGTAGCTAAACCCTTTGCCAGGCCAGAGTGCTCAGGAGGAAGATAGTGCTTACTGGAAAAACCCAGGTGGTTTGAGAGCATTTTTACTTGAGATCAGTGATGCTGTTTGGAATGCTGCCATAAGTTAGCAGCCTTGGGAAAACGGACTGCCCAGCTGGGGACTCTTTGGACCATTTCAGTTATACCTCTTTTAAGATTTTTGTTTCACAGCACCAGGCCTTGGAAGAGGTTGGTCAATGGAAGCTGTTTCTGCTGGAGACAACTGATTTGGGGCCCACGCAGCAACGAAAAAATGTTTTGCATTTGGCTGGAGGCAGAAAAATTACGTTGGTAGGTGGAGAGAGGTTTCAATTCAACAGATAATGAACCAACATGGTGCTTGCAAGAGGCTGTTACTGGCTCAGTAACAAACAAAAGGGAGATTCTTAGGCTCAATCCTGCAGCAGCCCAGGGAGAAAGCAGCAAATCTCTACCACCTTTATCTCACTGCAATCGGCACCTCAGGGGCACCGCACGCTCCCGGCTGCTCCCCGAGGACAAGGACCGACAGCCCCAGCACTAATTGAGGAGCTCCAGGAGTGCTGGCTGCCATGCAACCTCCACACTGGGGGAAGTGGATGGGATAAATCTCATCTGGCCACAGTGGTTCCAAGCCGCTGTAGAGCAGTGGGCAGCTGCAATGGTGAGTGTTGGCAGGAGCAGCCACAGCTCTCAGGTCCATTGTGCTGAGGTGATGCATGTGGATACAGGTAAGCAGCCCTGCAGGAAGGAAAGGGGAATAGGACATCCCTTCCAAGTGCTGCTTGAAGGATTGGGATGTGGCACATGAGAGGAGGCCAAGAGAAGTGGCCTTGTCTCCAGCCAGAAGTGGAGGAAAAGGTGAGTGGGGTTGATGCAGCATGTGGGAGAAAAGGAGGAACGAGAGGGAATGAATGATACGATCAGAGCAGAGAGCCGGAGCTGCCCTGCTCCACGGGTTTCAGCGTACACCCTTCCCCTCGGCCTCGTGGCGTTTCTGTCTCATGCAAACAGTGTCTGTTGCGATGCTTTCCTTGCCAGTTCTGCTCCAGGCCGTGGCTGGGAGGAGAGGTGGGAGCTGTGGTCCAGGGTGGTCCTGGGAAAATTGAATTTACTAATTCAGGTGTAAACATTCTGTCTCGGGGAGTTGGCAGTTTTGGCAGGTGTTCAAACCAATTCCACAGGCAGACACAGGAAACAAGAAGCCCAGCCATCCAAGCCCAGGCCCAATTCTGGAGGGCGCTGTGGTGAGGAGACTGGATGCCAGCACAGTACTGATTCACCAATCATAAAAGCACAGGAAAAGTTGCATGAACAGTACTTTGGTGAAAGCAGGGAAACAGGACTTGGATAGTCAGCAATAGTGCAACTTGGCCTTGTTAAAAGCCTTGAGCATGTGAGGACCATACTTGTAGGCTTAATCCCACTCTCCTAAAAAAAACAAGTTGTTTGAGGGCTGAATTGAGCCCAATGAAGTATCAAGCAAATCCTGCACACTTGCAAGACCAGGAGCAGAGGGAACAGCTGTGCTCAGAAAGTGGCAGGAACTCTTTTAACAGCACCACACCCAGGTCTATGGCAGCAGCTTTTGTGATGGTCATGTTGCTTTGAAGGGAGCCAGGAGAGTGGGGGAGTGTGGTTTTGGTGTGGTTTTCTGTTGGCAGAAATGCAGACACTGTACGTTTCCAGTAAAGAAGGACCCAGAGTCCTTTTTCCTGAACTGTACTTGGTGCCATAGGATTTTCTGCCAGAGCTATATGGGCAGGGAAGCCCTGGGACAATTTGCATTCATTCATTTACTGCAGAGACCAATTTTTTGCCATTCTCAGGGTGCAGTGACCCCAGAGGCCTGTTTGGCTCAGCCTGTCTCCCCCACCTGCTAGGAGACAGGAGCCAGCAGAGTGGCACTGCCAGGCTCCCTCCCTGCGGGCAGCTCGTGAAAGAAAAGCGGGACAAGCTGAATTTTCCTCATGGTTCCACTGTATTGGTGCAGCCCTGGAGGCATCTGCTGTGTTTGTTTCGGGTACGGGCTCCTCCCCAGAGTTGTTCGGTCTCCTGCTAGGAGAGGGAATGGTGCATTCTTATGCTGTTGATTTATGATCCCAATTCTCTGCACTGTGCTCATTTTCTTTCTCAAAGTACATTCTGCAAAGCTTGAGAAAAAAAGACCTGCATGACAATTGAAAGCAGTTTCTACAGAAGAGCTTCCTGCAGGAATCCTGCCACGGCCTTCAGTTTACATGCTAGGCAATGTCATGTGGAAAAGATGGCTTTACCCTGATGGTGCCCCTTAAATCATAATAGAAGCTGAGACATTTATAGCTCAGCCTGTGTACAGCATCTGGAGTCCCCAGCCCTCTCGTTGTCATGCAGAGCTGTATCCCGACAGAAAGTGCTGCAACCTCCGTCCATTCCCACACCTGTTGGAATACTTAGCTTTATAAAACCACACCCAATTGTACAATGAGCCGCATGCAGAATGTTTATTTTGAAAGACCATCTTCAGAAATACAGCAAGTGCCTCAATGGATGGGTCTTCCTGTTCTTCTGTATCAAGTTTTCCATGTCTCTCCTATTACACTGGATCTTGTGATTCATGTTATCCCCCCTCCTTTTAACCAGGCTAAATTTGTCCAAGGTGGCCTGAGGCTACAGAACCGATCCGATCCCTGCACAGCTCCTCCTCCCACACTGTGGAGAGTGTTTTGTTCTATATTTTTGTATTTGCAACCTTCCCTTTTACTGACCAGCTACGAATACCATGAGAATTGCCCCAAATCCCCAGTCCATAATGGGATCATCCTCACAGAGTCATAACCAAAACTGGTCAATTCTCTCTGACTCCTGCCAGAAACTGCAGCACTTTACAGAGGCTGCCTGGCCCCAGCAGTCCCCTGGTGCCCCTGGTTCAGCGACCTGGAGACCAGCAGTGGTTTGGTGCAGCTCTTTTTCTCTCTCTCCGGCTGTTATTTACTCCCGAGTGGAATACAGGGGTATCCAGATTGCTATCTCCTCCCTCTCCCCTCCCTGTAAATTCCTTTCCCTGTACCCTGCCCCAGCCTAACCACAAAGCAAAGACTCGATACAGAATTTTTACAGGAAAGCATTAATGAGTGCCGTTTTTGACCAACTGCTGGTTTGTGTTATGTAGGAGAGGCACTACGGTCGGGATTAGCCGAACCACACCTGAGCTTTACAGACCCAGCACAAGGAAAAGACGATCCACAGGGAGAAGTGATGGAAGCAGGGAGAGATCAGCCCCTTACCGCTGTAGCACTGAGCACCAGTACTGCTGTTGGCTGTGTAAGCTGTAGCCATCAATGAATGAGCATTTTGGGTGTGGTGGTGTGGCTGTGCCCGCCCCTCCAAAATGTCGTGCTTGGTGTAAATGTCCCTTCATGCGCTAAGGCCACAGCCCTTGGGAGTTCTGACACGTAAGTGCTGGAGAGCTGAGCAAGCCGTGAGCTCTGTGACAGATGCACTGCGCCTGTCTGAGCCTGCTGCTTCCCTGTGCCTGGAAACAAGGCAAAGCCAGTACACAGCAAAGCCAGCACCCTTTCTGTGTAGTCCTCGGAGCTGGAGAGCCAGAGTGACTAACACTGTTCCAACAAAAATAAGATTCTTTCCAGAACTGCTCTTTGCAGTGATAAAAAGCAAGAAGCGGTCAGCCTGAAGAGTAACATTTCTGGAAAATGCATCAGCCCTGCCATGCCCATGTCATCCTGCTATCACCCAGCTTTGTGCCAGACACTGCCTGCTTGTCAGAAACCACCCTGCTGAGGACAGGGGCACCTTTTCTTTCTCCAAGGACTAATGATATGAAAAGATGATGCAAAATCTGACTGGTTTTGTTCAACTCCGGTGCTTTATTAATAGCAGGAAGCCACTGGGCCTTACACCACTAAGGAAATCAGTGGGACACACTTGTCTGTGGATGCTCTTGACTCAAAATTTCCCACTTATGAAGTATTTTTTCATTTAATGCAATTGAAGCAAAGAAATACCACCAAAAGCCCAGGTGCAGACTTTTATTGGTCTGTGCCAGGAAAACAAACAAGGAATGCTAACACTGCTTTCTCACTCAAGCTTCTCTAAATAATCAGAAGAGAAAAATTAATGAAGTCCAAAGCAAGTTAGGGAGGGAGTGGAGGGAGCTGCCACACCAAAATGTATACAGAATAGTTCAAGGACAACACTGCTGGCAGGCAGCAGGAGGGACAGCCCAAGGGAGAGAGAGGGCTTTCCATTCAGGGTGCCCTGAAAAAGTAAATATAATGTGCTTCCCTTTCCCTTGCCATGCTCCTAACTCAAATCACAGAGGAGAAGGGGAACTCACTCATCTTCTGTCCTAGGAGGCTGTAGGATCCTTGTGGAATCCTTGTCCAAGTTCATGTGCAACTGTGGCAGGGTGAGTGCTGTCAGCTGCACTTGGTCCAGCAGCTGTCCCAGCAGGAGAATCTTCCTCTCTCTCAGCGGCAGATGCCTCCTCATGCGGTGCCAGATCAGCCAGAGCCCTCTCTGTGCCCCCATGGATGATCTGATGAGCAGCATAGATGTGTTTTCTTTGGGACTGCCTCACTGTGCATAAAAAGAGATAAGGCTTTTACTTGGAAATGTACAGCGAAGTGTTCTCTGTAGGGGAGAGGGGAGCAATAGCTTTTAGCAACCCTGCAGCTGTGGAAAAGTCTGTCTCAGGAAAAAAAATCATGCCCTTCTAACTTTGGCTGAAAGCGTTCTACTGCCACCTAATAGCAGCAACCAACTTTGCATTTCACTTTGAAGACTGGCCCCCACAGTGGGAAGCACAGCCAAAGTGTTCTTTCCAGCTTTGTGAACAACTGCCCAGGATATATTTTCAGGCTTTAACATGACTTCTCCTTCAGTGTCTGTTAATTGCAGCAAGCCTCTGAAGAATCCAGCTGAAATCTGCTATCTCCTGTGCCAGGATTTGACCTGCACTCAGAAACTCTGACTGAGTTCAAAGTAAGACTCGGAGCTACAACTGACACATGAAGTCACCTGCCTACCTTATCACCTCCCCTCAGCTACTGCAGGATTGCCTCCTTTCATCCAAAGCTATTTGTATGCATTTCCAACCCACCTCCTGGGAAATAATTACCCAAGCCTAAGTGTTCACCCTACAGCTCTCTTTATTGCTCTTGACTATTCTTTGTTCTCCCTTTCCCTCTTTATCTCAGTCATGGAGACTGAAGCACTGTGTGCCTTATGGAGGGTGTAAGGAATGATGCAGGAGCAAGGTGTAGCTCTCATCCTGTCACTTCCCTCCAGAAGTCCAAGACTTACTTTGGCCTGTTTCAAGGCTGAGCTGTGCTTGGACTGCAAATCTGAAGCACTGGTGTCCTGCATGCTGGCACACAGTTCTGCTGTCCCTGTCTCAGTCACTCAGCATTACCAACCCACCCTGTTTATGTTTATCCATCTCCCAGGTCCACTTTGTCAACCATGAATGCAACTGGATCTCACTTGCATTTGAAAAGCTGACCTTCACCAGCCAGCCCTCATTCCCTCCCAGGAGAGGTTTCTCTACCCAAGGCATTTTGGCTTCGGTTGTGTTTGCATCAACTGCATCAACTGCATCAACTATACTGGGAATTCTCCCCTGGAATTTCTGCAGTCCCTTTCTCCCTCCACAGTGAATTCCATCTAAAGGACAGTGTGCTGAAATGGGTGAGTGACTGTCCTTTTCCAAGCGAGGTTCTTCATATCAGCACAGTGACTTCTACTTCCACTGAGGCAGGGTTCAGAATTGAGGTGCAGAGGTTTTTCAGGGTGAACCAGGGATAACCCCTGCTTTTATGCATCAAAATACAATGAAATGAGGAGGAAAAAAATCCCACACTAGGCAATGGCAAAACAGAGGTGTTTAAGGGGACGTTTAAATGTAGGCAAAGACTGAACCTGCAGGTCCTCAAATCTTTGTTCTGCAAATGGATTTGCTCCTTTGACAGGACAGGTAACTGTGCTCTTAGATCACTTCCTGAGAGTTTCAAGGAAGGTGAATGCTCAAGCATGGGCCAGGTTGCTAAAACACAGTTTCATAATGAATAATTCGGCTCACTATAGGGAAGGCTTTAAAAGCCACCACAGAAATGCAATGCAGTAATGTGTTTATAAGATCTAATGCCATTCTTTGGTACTATTTCCTTTGGATTTCCATGGAATAGTTAATGATTCTGAAAGTATCACTGTGCAGGAGGTTTACAGCAGGGTGTGTTCATCAGAGTGTACATCTGGTAGAATTCAACTGTCTTAAGTGAATGGAGCCCCCTCTACCCCATGCAGCAATAGCAGAAGAGTATGAGCCACATCTCTTCCTGACATTTGATTCCTGCTGTCACAAGAATATCATGACAAATTTCTCCTGATCACATTTGATCACTCTTACTTAACATCCTACTGCTGTATTCCACCAGCATCCCCTTTAATTTTTAATTTGGCCTAGCTCTGCTTTCCAGGCAAACTCACTGTAGCTATCACAGATTCTGAAGATTTTTTTTTCTTCTGTTGTTTGGGAGTGCTTCTGAGGTGCATTGTTCATTAGCTGCTGTTGCATTTAAGCCCAGTACATATTTTGAGCCTTGATGAATGTCTTCACTATATCCAGAATCCTAAGCCATCTCCAGGTCTTCTTTCTGCTCTCCTTTCTGAGGCAGGCTAACGTGTGTGCTAGTGCCTGAGCTGCAGGCTTCACTGACTACAATTACATCACCAGCTCTGGAAGGCTGGCAGAAGCAGTGCTGGAGCGAAGGGAGCTGATTTAAGCTTACGCAGAACTGCCAGCTGCAGAACAGGTCCTGTTGTTGTGGCAGCACACAAGCCAGGAAGAAGAAAGTTAGTATAGTTCTGAGACCACAAAATGCGTACTCAGGGTTTGTGTTTTCATTCACAAAGCAATAAAGAGGCACTGAACTAAGTGTCTTTGTTCTCAAGGCAGAGAAGTGCACTGTAGCAAGGACCCCTACAAGCTCTGTTGTGATGCAATTGCTTTCCTGAAGTAATATTCACTTTCTGTGGGTGACTGGTTTAGTCACAATCTTCCACCTGTGCTGGTCAGTGGAAACATCCCAGTTAGGAACAGCCACTTATTCATTACATTACTTAATGTAATACACAAGTTTCCAGTGTCTTCCCCTCTGTATTTTGATAGACAACATTCCATTTTTTGTTAAATAGAAATATCCTTTACAACTGCAGAGTTATCTCCTTAAAACATGATGCTACTACAGCCAACCTTAAAACTTTATCTTTACCTCTTGCTCTCAGCCAACTGGGAAGGAGAGGGAAGCATAGGAAAGTATATAAACTTCCTTCCATATATGACATATTTAAGTAATTTGCTTGTTAAAGTCTTCTGCAGGTTTAGAAATTGCCATGTAATAACACAATTCACAGCTGTGCTACTTAAAGATTTTTACCAGTTTGTTTCTGAATGTCCAATGGGCTACTTCTTTTAATGCAGTTTTATTGTTGCAGAGACACCAAATTTCTCATAGCAAACCAGGCTGGAACATCAAGGATTATCTGATCCAACCTTTCTTGGCATAAGCACAGGCCAGATCTTACAGCAGGTCTGAATTTCATTCACCATTTAAAAAGACTAAAGCTCATGAAAAACTCATGACAAAAAGGTGAAAGAGCTTAACTTTCTACCTGCAGAGAGCCAAAAAGGAATCTCAGGGAACTGAGACAACTCTTAGCTGCATCATTCCTTTCAGGGAGCTAGAATAAGGAGAGTGAACCAGTTCATAAAGAAAATAAAGTTACTGATCTTCTTACCTCTTTCTCTCATGAAGTTTTTCTCAGCCTCTGGGATCAGGAAATTGTAAACCAGCTCTGCTACAATCTCTTCTGACTGTAGGCGAGTTCGACTACAGGACAGATGCACAGTGGTATTAGTATTTTAATTTTCTATCTAGACCACCTCTGCAAAAACAGGTCTCCCTTGCTTTACTCTCTACAAGGGAGTGTACTGTCATGCTGTCATGGCAGCAGTTGTCAGCTGGGTCTCTTTATCCTACAAATAGATGACAGTGTGACTATTCCCCTGTGCCAACGTGTTCCACAGTGCATTGGAAAGCAGGATCACACTATACTCCTTATCCTCAAAGGTACTGAGAAGCTCAGCTCCCTCTGATGACAAACTGAGTCAGACACAGAGATATCGCTGAGGATTTGTGTCTTTGTCAATTTAGTCCTTGGTCCATTGCTGAGTTTGCTAAATTCTTCCCTTTTGTGACTCTGCACTTGGCTGGCCCCCATGCTCTTTTCCATGCCAGTGTTTGGTGGGTTCCCAGTTGGCCCAGGGAACTGCATGCATTATCTATGCTTCATTCCCCCAAGGACTCCAACGTTCTGCTTGCATTCATCTAGATACAAAATACACAGCTGCTGTACCATAGGAGAGTCACTGTGTCAGTGGGAATTTTATGGCTCAATTCCAAAAAAAGAGCACGGAAACTGAACCGGGGGTTTGGCAGGTCCTAAAAAGTATTCACTGCTGATGCCCCGGGCAAACACAGACTCTGGTGTTCTCAACAACTTACTTTACTCCAAGTGCCTTGTCAGGCAGCCATCAATATGAGTGACCTCCATGGACATTGGCAGCTCCTTAAAGAACAGCCACCCCAGAATGAAAGGCTGTGTATAGCTGTATCTTTTAGGATCTCTTTCAAATGGATTTTCTGTAGTAGTGTAAATAAATGAAAAGATCGGTATGAATGGGTATTGCTTTAGGCAGTTCTCAGATTCACTTAAAGCTCAGTCACAGCCTCACACTGGTGTGGAGAAATCTAAAAAGGGTGATTCACAGATCACACAAGTGATTTGCAAAGGGAACCTGGCATACACTGTATGGAAATAAGGCTCTGATGGATTTATATGTGTGTAGCAGGTAGGAACAGCCTGGTTCCCATACAGCAGCCACACTAATGAAGCGACCACGAGCAGCACTGCCCTGCCCTTCCCATGGCTTGGATGATGTACACAGCCACAGATGCACATGGTCAGGCAGGTTCTAAACTGCTGTGAACAGCCCCTCACGTGCTGTTTAATAACCTACCGACTTTCCATTTCGTAAGCAATGTCATTGATTTCTACAGCCCTTTTCTGAACCTCTTCCCTGGCCTGCTCTTCAGCTGTCCTCTCCATACTGCTCAGGATTATGTCTTCCAAGTAGGTGTCAATAGTTCTGTCCTGAATATGCACCACCTAGAACAAAACACCAAGATGTTATTCCTCTGCCTATTGCTGTGCCAGGAGCACAGTGGAAGATTTCCAGAGAAGCATGAACAGATTTTCACAGGGCTCTTTGTTTCAGGCAGGCCAACCTGAGATTTGTTTTCAGAGATGCTTTCTGTAAAAATTTATTTTCTAGTAATTCTTTCTGAGAACTGATTGAACAAGTGCAGGTGAAATAAAACCAATTCACAGATCCAATTCTGGTGCAGCAGATTAGACCTGTGAATGTAATGACAGTTGTTCCCTCAGTTCTCACAGTCCCCTGAGCAACAACTGCCAAGTAATAATCATGGATATTGACTTCAGTAAATAAATCAGCTTTCATTCAAGCAAACCCTGAAGGAGAAAGTTCCATCAAGCCAGTCAAAATCCAAGATAAAATTATTTGCTTTCTTATAATGGTTGTAGAGATGAGATTCTAGAAATGTGTGTTTTCCTTCTCCTAATCTGAAGGGCAAAAGTTTATGGCACCTTGGCCTTACCCGCTTACCACTCAGAAATACAGAAAAGACGAGAAGCTAAAATTTTTAAAAAACAAACATGATGCCAGACCCTTTTGGTATTAACCACCTCCCACAAGGTTTGAAAATTATTGGTTTAGTCAATTAGACTCCCACTCATGTCTTTCAATGGGGAGAAGTATGCTTCATGCAGTTAAGAGCTAGGAAATAGGAACAGGACTATAGAATAGTTATGGAGTATGGTAATTCAAGGGTTTTTTCTTGGTTTCAAGGTTATTTTATCTAGTATCATTACTTCAAAATAAATGTTGTACCTCTTGTTATTTGCAGTCCACTTGAGCTGGGGGAGGGGTCAAAGTCTTTCCAAACCCTTGCTTAAAGGCATCCTTCCTGGACAAGCACCTAATATTTCTGCTGGGCAGAACAAGTGCTGACAAAACATTATCCCTAGAGATGATCTAGGTACATCTGTTCTCCATAGGTGTTTATTGGAGAAATTTAGAAACCTACACCCATTCATGACAGGCCTAACCGGAATGTCTGTAGGGGTATTTAGATCATCCCTAGTTTGACGGGCATGACTCTCTCAGGAAGACATCACTCTCTCTTCACTAAGCTTTCCCCCTCAATTTTAAAACTAGCCATCACCAAAGTCAGTGCTGCAGCAGCTCCCATCCATCTGGACCTTCCCACAAGGAGGCAGCTCCTACAAACTGCCTACAGTCCAGCCAGTCTCCCTCTCTTGCCTGTCTGAAAAGCTCATCTTCCTCTTGCCGCTGGCTCTCTTCCAGCTGCCGCCGTCCGCTCTCCTCCGCTTCCCGCATCCGCCTCTGCCTCTGAGCCAGCAGGGCCAAAGCATGGTTCTTCCGTTCTTCTTGCAGCCTCACCAGCTCTTTGGACAGAAAATCAAGCATGTTCGCCAGTGTCCTTCCTTCTACTGTGGCCAAGTCTCTTTCCAGTGCTGACAGCTTTCAAAAGAAAAATGCAAAGAATTGTGTTAGAAACCCCAGGAACATTGTACGAAGTCCCAGCACTACAACAGGCATGTGAGACAGCTCTGCAGCATCCACTCGAATCAGCCATGGGACAGTCCCAGGAGTTTGGCACTCTTCATGTGTTATGTGCCCTGACTGGTTTATGCACAGTGCAACCATGAGTGCCTGCAGCTTCAGGCATTGAACCTAAAATTGTACAAGTTACTAACTGCTGACAAATTCAAATTGACAGTAATAATATATTAAGTTTGCAGAAGTGTAAATGAGACCTCAGAATTCGGGGTAATGGAAAAACAGAAAGTCTGTGACAGAGCTGAGACAAGATTCCAGGTGTTCAGCATTATGGTGCCATTCACTCCTTGTTCCAAGCACATCCTGTTTTATGGTCTGGGTATGTGTGATTGCACTGCAGAAAGAGACAAGATCTATTGGGAGTTCATTATCTCCAGAATGAACTCTGAAGCCACAGGCCTTGGCAGGAGGGAATGTCTGGAACTGGCTGGGATGCTGTGTTCTGTTGAAATAAACAGGCAATTACAGAATAGACCTAAACATAAAAGTTGAAGTGGAGCTGAAATATCCCAGACAAGTAATAATAAATCAGCTTTCTTATAAAGCTGTGCCATTTGCCCAGGCAGTGTTTCAAAGAAAGTGGGATTGTCAGTGTTGCACACATCTAGAAGTGACAGCACTTAGCCCACAGGTGCTTCAGATGGAAGATGGTGATGCAGTAACTGCACCACCCCACAGGGAGACTAAACATGGAACTAAAGTGCTCCCTCCTCTTCATTGCTCCAGGTGCTGTATATAAAACTGGTGTGAAATGGAGGAAAACAACTTAGGAACACTCTTGTGTTAGATTTTTGTTATATATGAGTCAACGGTTTTCAACTCCTCATCTCTGACTGTTTTATGTGGAATTTCCATCCTCTTCCAGCCGGAAGCATTTCTTTTACACTGAAATGGTCAAAACCCTGAAAAAAACCCTGTGACCACCAAACCCTATAGAACTGAGAGTTTCAGTGACTTTCTGAAATAGCCACACACAGAGAAAACTCCTGCACATGCATTCCTGAGAGTTTTGAAGTTCAAAATGTTTGAAAACCTGAGCCTTGGACTGTGAACCTCCAGAGACAGTAAAAAAAAAAAGTGAGAGGAGGCCAATACCAGCAGAGGGGGATAGTGGCTTTCCAAAAAGGAAATTCTGAGATCAGAGGTCAGTATCTTTACCATTTGCTCTCCTTCCTTCTCTATGAATGTCATTATGGTGTTTGAACTGCCTTCTCCTTCACTCTCACGTGGGCTTCCAGAAAAAATGGAGTACTGCAAGTTTCTAATGCCTGAGACTTTTATTTTTCTCTTAATTCCTCAGAAGAAATATTCTGTATTCCTGTATTCCACACCTGTGTTTCCTGTGCATGAGGGAATATCTGGAAATGCTAAATGTTAAATGATAAAACAGTCACCTGGTTCAATTTTTACTGAGATTTAAGGGGAAATTTTGTTGCTGCCCAATCAGCAGGAAACTGTGGTATGGCTTCATCTCCACCAGGCCAGTGGATGCTGTTATTTTAATATGGAAGCTGACAAATTGCCTCACAGCTGGTCATTGGAAAAACAGCAGAGCAGTAAAAACAAGAAAACTTGCAGGAATGTGACAGATACTGTATTCTCTGAAATGTAGTGAACTCTAGACAAAATTTCTTTATAATCTAATCCCGACCAGCATCTGCATTCACTCTGCCCTGGAAGGCTGTAGCACTGTAAGGAAACAGGATGGAAATTTGCATCCCTGGCTCTCACTAGATCCTTGGCAGAGAATGGAGCCCAAAATTTCTTTGCTCTGCTTACAGTGGCAGGTACCTCAATGTGTCACCATTGCTAAGGTTCTAGAAGTCTTGAGCCCAGCAGGATTCACAAAGTTGGCTTTGGCTTCCTTTTTGAGGTTTTATGCTGAGGAGGAGCCTGAGAGGGTGCCAAGCTACAAAAAGGACAGGGAAATTACAGAGTAGTAACAAACATTCAGGAAAACATCCAACAGATGTGAGTGACAAGCACATCTTATGATACCAGGTCATAGTACCAGTCAAATGGATTGAAATGTGGGAAAACTGAGGATCATCTGACACTGCAGTTTGTTCAAAGCTCTGTAAATATAAATAAGTGCTCTGTCTGCAAACAAAGCAAACACAGCCTGCATAGCAGCTGTGGTCAGGGTGCCTCAGTCTGTTTCTGAGATTCCCCAGAGTCTCCAGAGCACTGAGAGACCAATTTTAGCCCCTCAGACATTCAGCGCTTGGCCTGTGCCATGAGAGCTTTATTGCTTTTGGGGTGCCTTCTGTGCTGTGGATAATAGAAAACATAAAAAATTAAATGTGAAAGTGTTGTGGTACTGCAGGCACAGAGTGTCTGGTCAGGACAGAGCTGTGAATCAACCTTCCCATCTATGCAAGCAAACCTGGCGCATTTGTGACTCATGCTGTCGCTGTAAAGACAGTGTCATTTGCTTCTGTGCCTTCAAGAGCAGCTGTCCATCCTCCTGGAGCACGTGAGTGGTGCGCAGCTCTTGGATCAGATCCAGGTGCTTCTCCTTCCCTTCAGACATCTTTAAAATAAAGGTAAACAACTGAGCATATTAAATGGAGACTAGAGAGCAACATGTTTTTGCTAGCAGAGCACACCCTTTTTCTCCAAGTTGCAAGGTCAGCTGTTACCAAGACCCAGTTCTCTGTAACAAATTTGTGGTTGTATTTAGGCAAATGCTACAGCTGTCAGGTAAATCTGCTATTTATTTTTCTTCTTTTTTTTTTTTTTTTTTTATTTTTTTTTTTTTTTTTTTTTATTTTTTTTTTTTTTTTTTTTTATTTTTTTTTTTTTTTTTTTTTATTTTTTTTTTTTTTTTTTTTTATTTTTTTTTTTTTTTTTTTTTAATTATTATTATTATTCTGTTTGGCTTTACCCAAACTCAGACCACTGCAATGCAGAACACCACCTATGTCAAAAGGGTAATAGTCTTTTGCATACCCTGTTATATCAGCCTCAATGTCACAGCTTCACAGTGTTTCAACATCTCCTGTCCTCTGACCTTCGTTTTGAGGGTTCCCAGCAACAGCCCAAAGCCATAAATTGGTGGGGAGGTTGCTGAAACTGCCACGATCCCTGTTATGGAGTTATGTAGCCCAGCCCTTCCAACACTGTTTTACTTTCAATCCCACTCTCTTACAACAGGACTTCCAAGACCAACAAAAGATCACTCAACCCTGCTTGTGTCATTCTCTAACTCAGTAATATATTTCTGATCCAGCAGTAGCTGGAAGAAGATTCTTAAAATGGTGGGATATTTAATGCTCTGAAAGTCAACAATCCTGCATTGGCCTCAACCATCCTTCTTACAGATCATCACACAACTGGAGAACACTTGGGAAGTCCATATTCCACCTCAAGCTGCTTCCATGATATCGTATCATTTACTAAAGCTCAGGGTCCTGCATGGGAACACTTCAAAACATTAAATAGTTACTGCAAGAGAAAGTATCAGTTGTACTCTTTGCAGACATAAAAACAAACCTTCAGGACTAGTCTGATCACAAGTGACAGACTCAATATAAAGCCCAGGAGGCATGGCTAGTAAATTAATTGTTTAGCTAGACCCCCTTCTGTTCCCCTGAAAGCAGAATGATGGGTCCTGCACATCACAGTGGTAGGCTTCAGCTGCTCCTCATCTGTGGTCCAGCTCACTACCAGTGGAAAGCAGAAAGATGGTACAAAATACAAACTGCCCTGCTGGGATGTGGGAGGTTTCTTGTGCCTGGGACCTTGGTGTAATCATGGCAAAATGTACTCACAGTCCAGATCTAGTCTGGAATTTTCCATTTGAGTAATTCTGCTATGAAGAGCCTCATTACCCCTGATTAGTGCTGTGGAAGAAAGATTTCAAACACCCTTTGCAATCAGTCATTCCCACCATCATTCTGAAGACTGACATTAACAAAGAGTTACCATGTTAACAAACAGAATACCATGTTCTGAAGAGCCCTGCCTCGGAGCAACTTCTGCAGACAGATCACTGCCAGGTCTATTTCCTCTTCCTCCTGCCAGAACATAACAAATATCCACACAACAATTATGTAATTCTTTGGAGACTGTGATTTCTGTAGATTATCTGTCTAACTGTTAAACAGTCTAACTCATATCCTGTCTTTCCTTGGTTGTTTCTGAACACCATTCTTCTAATTTCTAGGGAAAGGAAAGTGAGTCAGAATAACATGTACTTCCGTGTTTTACAAGGGATGGGGAAGAAAGGTTGTATAATTAGATTCTATTTGAGATTTTACAGGGTCTTTAGAGATGAGAACCTAATGGTAAGGAGACTTTGATGGAGAAAATTACTGTATGCATTTTAAGTAATATTTGTAGCTTGACTGAATCCAAGTTTGCAAAATGAACATCAGCTACATTAATTTAACAGGTTGAGACACTAAGAGGACAGAATATGTCCAAGAGAACTGTTAAACACAGAAAAGGGTTTTAAATTGAAGAGGAACATATACAATTTTTCTTTTGATATTTATTCCAGTGGTGATCTTTATCAGAGTAACTCAGTAAATTTAAGACTCAGAAAGTGATTGTTTGGAAGTAAAATTAACTACAGTCCATTGTGATTTGTCTCTTTGAGAACTTTACTGGCCTAGCATTGTGTGATTGATACCTACTTGGAAGAATGACAGAGCATGTGGTGGGAAAGGGAACATGACCACAGAAGGTAAAAAAAAAAAAGGGCTTATTTTAAATAGAGGAAATAGACAAAGCACAGATGGCAGTAGTTTTCTAGGTGAGGGGTTTTCTAGTTTGGAGTTGACAGTAGGAAAAGGATAAAATCCACTGGGTGCCTGGGAAAGATAGAAAAATCTTAAAATTGGAAGCATGTTTTTTTTAATAAAGAACCTATGAGGTCTGCATTGACATGTGGTATTTAAGAAGTGCTGGAAAAACAGGGAAGAGTGTGGGATGAGAGAAGTTATGTGGGCTTGATTCTTAGTTATGTTTTCTCTTAGGTGTTGAAGACTGAGTTTTCCCAGCGCAAAAGGAAGCGTTCCTGCCGTTCCATACCAGCACCCGGGAGGAGCAAAGCAGAACTAGCGAGAGGACTTTTGATTTGGTATGTTCTTCTCTGGAAAAAGAAGGGATGAATTTCCAGTTCTAAAGAGCTAAACTCTACCACATCACCTGGCTACAGTGTGAAATCCTTTCAGGACAGTTTTGGAAATGTTGATGGCACACATACCAGTAAGCCAAACTGCTTGGTGTGATATTAACTAAGATTAGGTTTGAATTTTTATGAGGAGTATTTTTCTGTACTTCTGTTTTTGAATGCAGCAAATGATGCCTTAGGAAGTGTAATATCAGCTTGTCCATCTGCCTGCTACAGACCAGCAGGATAGAATGAGGGGACATGAAAAGCCTATCATGTCCTGCAGGAAAAAAAAAAATAAAATTAAGGATATAGAAGAATCTAGGAGATGGCTGCAAACTAGAGGAGGCTGGAAGAAAGTCATAAAGTAATGAAGGAATTCAGAGGTGCTCTGTGAGCTTTTGTGGCTATTAAGCCCATTAGAAATGACTAGGGGAGAGAAGGTGAGGATGCTTGCAGTAGTGCCTCTCTCCCGTCCATTCTCTCCACTTTCTTCTGGCACAGTTCCTTTCCAAGATCCTCAGTTCCAGTGGGAAGCACTTAGCAGTTGGTACTTGTATGGGTGTGTGGCAGGAAGAGAAGCATTAACAACAGAGAAAAGCCTTGTTTTCACTGCTCCTGACAGCCACCCGGTAGGAGAAACCTTACTTGGATTTGTCAAGGCAGGAGATGTTATTGCTGTTCTTCAGTGGCTCAAGTGGCCTGATTTTACAGATGGAGCTTCACTGGAGAGCTCCATCTTTCATGTGTTCCCATATAAAGATTCTTGAAAATGTTGACAAAATTAAAACCAAATGTTGACAAAATTAATGAAGATGGAATTCTATTGTATTGGAATTCTTAAAAAAAAACCCCAACAATAATCTGTGAACACACTCAAGAACGGCTACAAGTGTAGGAACATTTTTCTGATTTCTTTACAGGTTACATCACAGTATTTAGAAATCTGCCAAACTGGTAAACCTAAACATGTAAACTCACCACTGCAATACAATATCTAATGCTTAGAAGTTGGTAAAGATGTGGAAAGCTCTCCCTGAGGAGATAAGAAATTCTAGTTGCAGTCATCTTAAAATAGACTGCATAAAACATAGAATATCATGCTGCACAAAGAAACACAGCAACACAGATGATTTAATAAGGCTTTCTCTCCTCCCTTTCATGGTTGTGTGGTTCTTAAATTCACAAGTTTACGTGGCAATTCTGTCTGATTCTTAGTACATCATGAAAATGGTGTTAGTAAGAAGACAAAACAGTCCACTGGGGCAACCAGCTCTTAAGTATGTTACTTTAAGAAAGGAAAGGAAGTTGCAGCTCCCCTAAAAAGTAATTTTTCCCTACAGCATATCACATCCCCCATGACACATCATTACTGCTGTTTCAGTCTCTGCAGGAGAATCATTATCTGTGAACTGGTGCATGCTCATCAAACACAGCATCCTGCATGATGACAAGACTTCATTCCAAAAAATTAATGAAGTGCATGCTCAGTGCTAAGCAGCCAACGTCTCTCTGACTTCAATAAGTCTAAACTTAATTGCCTCACTGGATTATGATAGTGTTGTCAGATCAGAAGGTTGGAAGCTACTGAATAATAATAGTAATAATAGTAATCGTAATAGTAATAGTAATAATAATAATAATAATAATAATAATAATAATAATAATTTATTATGCCTTTTTGTTGCCCAAGAACAAGGGAATAACATGCCTACTAATTTATGTCTTTATAAAATAAAGTTTACTTAAGGATTTGGCCAACAGATACTGTAAATTATTTCAAATCTTGGTCTGCTAGTATCCTTACAGAATAGAGACAGAGTCTTAAGAAATAATGATGGCTATTTTTAACATGGATGCACACAAAAGATAAAACTACCTTCTTTCATTCCCTGGGCATTCCTCTAACAACTGTGTAGGAAACAATCAGGGACCAACAGGGAAAAAAGTGCTAAAACCAGCTCACTTACAATTGATGGCTTTTCCAGGATTAGAGTGGGTGGCTTAGGAACAGGGCTTTCTATTTTTTCACAGACAGGGGAAGGCTTCTTTGGCTCCTTGAGTTTATTCTTCTTCTCCAGTAGTGCCTGCAAAAGACATCCAATTTAATAAGAACATGGGTAAATAGAACAACATAACAAGACCACTCCTCTAGATGCTGACTGTTGCTGACCACACTGACAACACGGAGCTGAAAGCTTTGCAGGCTTGTGGTTTCTATTTCTTACTGCACATCAACTGAAAAACTGAGTATGGTCATAGATGAGGCTATTGGTTGGTCAGAAGACATTGATGGGAATGTCAAAATCATATGTAAGAAGGAAGCAGGAGTTATTTTACCATATTAACTAAAAAGTCATCAGCATTTGTGAGTCACCTAAAATTAATCTAAAAAGGGTATGAACTTCATCTCTAATTCTCAAATAATTAATTTTCTAAGAATGCTATAGCTCTTTGCCTTTAACAATAGGTAATGCTTGTTACTGTGGTTTAGAAATGCTATGCACTCAGGATATTTTATGAAGGGATCACTGGAAGAAGGTATTGTCATTGTTCTGTGACAGTGAAATGTCTTTGTATGATAGGCTGTTACTGCACGAGATTGAACCAAATGACCCCTTCCTAGCAAAATATGTTTGCAACTCTGCTCTGCTCATCTACAACTGCCCAGCAGCCCAGTGGCACCCACAGCAACTGTACAGGTGGACTGGGGGCAAAAGAGAAACTGTTTTGTCCAAAAACTTCCATCTACCAGGAAAATGCCCTGAATGGTCAGCATGGGTTTATCTTGCTTGCAGCTGATTGGTGGCAGATGCCACACTTTGTCAGCAGACTAGAGTGCCACCACAGCCTCAGCTCTTGCAAGACATTTTCAAACTGTTTAAAAAGACCAAGTCCTGCCAATTTCCCACCCAGCCCCTTAGAACTAGAAAGTCAGATAAGCATTTCCAACTGCATGACAATGCTTGCCTGCTGCAGGACATCACACTTTGGCTTGCAAAGAAAAGGAAGTATATCCATTTAAATCTTCAAAACTATAATCCTATTACTCTGTGGATTGGATCTTTAGTCTTTATTATTGAAAGATCATATTCCAGCAAGGGAAAGTGTGCCTTTTCCTTTTTTCACTCTCCCTCTTTCAAATGTTCAAATACAGTATTTCACCAGGGAAGGAAATCAAAAGAAAAACTTTAGAAAAAAGTTCAATGCTGAATTTATCTCTCCAGTAACAGGAAACTGATGGCATTTGCACAGAATTTAATTGTGAAATTAATGAAGTTTTGAAACTCCAGTAGTCATTGTACAAAAACCCTTCTTGCATGTAGGATCTGTTCTTTCAGGCCAGGATAATGAATTGCTCCAGAAAAGGAGAGAGATTTCTAGGTGGAGGGGATAAAATACTTTATTATTGAAAGCTTCTTAAATGGTCCATGTTAATAATGCAAGAATCAGAGACTATAAACTGCTTTTCAGCCATGTTAAATGGTTATAGTTCAAAAATGTTGAGAGACTTGTTGAACTGTGTTTTGTATGTGAAGACCTTAGAGCTCTCTACCATGAAGATTATAACAGTGCTGGCTATGATTTATAAGGAGATTTGCATGGCAGGGCAAGGGAAGCAGAAAGAAAAAGCTGCTGTAGTTGTGACTCTTTTGAAAACAATGGCTACTATGTTTATTAGTACAATCTCACATACATAAGAATTTTTCTGATAAAACTGTGGCCTCCAAAAATGTTTCCTGCTACCCAGAATAACAAAATATAACCAGACTAACAACTTTTAAAGAAAGAAAAAATTATGATTAATTTGGACAAGAGGGAATCCTTATTAATGTAGATTTGAGATATACTGCAACTCTTAGAAGTGGCTTTATGTTTTCATGTCAGCACTATCTACTGCCTGCTTGGCTATCTTTATTAAGTAAAAAAAATGCTTAGCATTTGCTTTCTTTAATCTGATGCTTTAAATTATTTTAAGATTTTAATATAAGAAAAGAAGAAGAAAATGTAGGGGTTTTGCCTTAACTAGTTCTGCCTAACTTAGCAAGTTCTCATTTTTGGAAAAAGGGACACCAGGACTCAAGAATCACTACAAAAATACTTGATTTTAAAAGATAAAAGTACTAAATTTCTGAGCAACATACACCAAATGTTAGTGTCATGCTCCACTTTTCCTGATACATTCTTTTATTCAAGCAGTAGGTTCAGAGTCAAGGTAGGATCTGATTGGATTGGACAGTGAAAGAACATAAGTCTCCTGGAAAATGCAGTGAACAGCAATGGCACTCATGCTTTTCACCATACACTTTGGCTTCCCAACCAGCTTCTGAGAGCTCTTGACAGGATAATGGCTTAAGAAGCAACCCTCCATTCAAAGAAATCATTCAATCCGTTCTTTAGATTCCTCCCTTATCTTCTCTGTGATCCTCCCCATTCCACAAGATCCTAGGTATATTTGATTTTCGTGTACAGCACAAACTATACAGTCATGGTTCTCCTTCTTCCTTTGGGGATTGTGGCATTACAGAATCACAGAATCAATGAGGTTGGAAAAAGATCTCTGAGACCATCAAGTCCAACCTATGGCTGAACACCACCATGGCAACCAGACCATGCCACTGAGTCTATCTTTTTTTTTATGTCCAGTCCTTCTTTAAACACCTCCAGGGACTGTGACTCCACCACTTCCCTGAGCAGCCCATTCCAATGCCTAATCTGTGAAGAAATTCCTCCTAATTCCAACCTAAACCTCCCCAGGTGCAGTTTGAGACTGCGCCCTCTTGTCCTGGTTGCCTGGGAGAAGAGGCCAACATGCACTTGGCTACAGCCTCCTTTCAGGTGGGATCATCAAGGACAGGCTGCCTTGATGTCCTAGGCAGTGCAGCATGGCTGCTGCATCTTGGCTGATCAAGACTGACATAAAAACTCTCAGAGCTGTCTGAGCATGAGCCAACTAACACTGTGTGGAGATCTGTTCTTGAAGGAATAACTGCTTAAACAGCCTTTCCTATGCTTTGAAGTTGGCAGAGATTTTCTCTAGAGACATTCTTGGCCCCTCTACTTCTCTACCTCTTTCCAGCAACCAGATAAAGGAAAACAGAAGGTGAGAATTGTACCTAATGATGCTTTAAGAAGTTTCTGAGTCTGACCTCATCTTGACCCAACTTTTTGAAACCAACTGACACTTCATCCCTCTTGAGTCACCAGAGCACAGAGGGTCTGCCTAAAGTCATGTATGGTTCTGCACTGGGATGTCTTCTACCACCTCCTCCATTCCTTGGTGTATTCACTTACCTAGTTGAATTTATTCAACTAACTATTGCAGTAGTTATCTGTATTAGTATATTATGTCCTTAATGCCTTGGATTTTCATACTAGGCTGTCTATATAATGGCTCACTTGCATTCCTTAAAGCACTGTGCTTATCTGTGCTGGCTAGGAACTATCTTTCTTTGTCCTTTTACTGATCTGTCTTAAGATAAAGATTTTTGTTTTTAACAGTGATTTTGAGTCACTCCTGTTTCTGCCATGTTCGCTTATTTTAGAGAATTATTCAGACTACTGAGTGTACATAATACTTCTGATAAAGGTTTCAGGATGGTCCTAAAAAAAGTCTGCTTCTAAAATCACTTCTTTTTGGCTTAGTTTCATGTCTGAAAGAAGCAGCTCTCATTCTTAGGAGGAAACAGATCCTTTTTGTAGTTACTTGGATTATTGCTTATCCCTTCTAAAAAACTTTAATCTTAGGAATACCCTCAATATGGCAAAAAAAAAGGGAATATGATAAGGAGAACTCATCAATCTTTCCTCATATTTGGGCAGAGAAGCAAGCCTTGGAAACTTCCTTTATTAAAACTAATTACTTCTGATGCTAATATCTAGCATTCCTCCTATATTTGCCACTTGCTTCCAGATAATCCAGCAAAAATTCTAAGAACTAATTGTAGAGCTAGATCTCTATGTACTGTCTGAATTTTCTAGGATTCCACTTTATTCTAGGATTATGCGAGAGAATGTATAGATTAAGTGTGCTAGGAGAGCACTAGAAAAAAGCTTTAGAACAGAAAACTGATCTGTCTACTTAGCTATAGAAATAAGGCAAAGCAACACAGTGCTCTGGTAAGATGATCCCTAATTACCTGCTTTAAACTTCTTTTCTACTGTATGTGATGGGAGGTTTATTGGCACAATTGGGACTGCTTATTCCAAGTGGTCAGAGAGCTCCTCTCAGGGAGGATTCTCCTAAATTCTATTAATGCAAGTACTCTGCATGCTTTACTGCTCTGTTTTTGATAGCTCCAGCAATATTTGAGGTGGACCTGTCAGCAAGACTCTGCTAAGCCAGAACATGCTATAGCCATCAAACTTCAAAAGCAAAAGCCTCTGATAGGAGAAGTGACCAGGAACAGCCACAGAGCTCAAGAGCTAATTAGGGCAGTCATTGCTTGATTCTCTGAACAGAAAGTTTGTTTAAATCTAACAGTGGCTGAGACAGTCTGGGTGTTTCACAGTGTCAGTACTTTCTGCTTGTCTGGAGCAACCAGTCTGGAGTCTATTTCTGTATATCTAAAAGCAGCAGTTAAATGTGGCATAATGAATTTATTTTGTCATTTTTGCCCATACAAAGGAAATGGTTTGTGATTTTAAAAGAATATACATTTGGAATTTTTGTGGTGGGGAAATGAGTATTACTTGTTAGCCTCTCAGTTGCTATAAAACAATGCAGACCAAGTGATCTACACTGATTTAAGAAAGAAAATGTGCAGAATTGTCTGCATTTGTTCTGCATTCCATCTTCCTTTGTCCATCAGTTTTTCTTTGAAGAGACATTATTGTGTGAGCAGCCACCATTTGGCTGCCCACACTTCTCTGTGGCTACAGTTTGGGCACTTCACCACAGTCTTACAAACCATGAAGAGTATTTTAAGCAAACAGAATACAATTGCTGTAACTGGAATTCAGCTCCAAAAGCTTGGACTAACATTCTGCTGACAATGAGAACCATGTTATGATGCAGATTACACAATTACTTCTTGAATTTTATGCAAACCCACACAACCTCAAACCCCTTCAACACTTCTGTTTCTTTAAAACTACAAGTTTTGTCCTTACTCTTGAATGATTCCTGTAGCACTCGAGATTTTCTTTGAAAATTTTCTTTCTGGATAATAATGAGATCTTTACAAGATCCAGCAGAATTTAAACTTGAGATAATATGATTGATTTTTCAGAGCAAGATTTCAATTTAAAAATCAGCAATAGCAGGTTACTGTCTGCTTTGAAGTTATTATTACATTACACCAAACCAAAAGAGCTGAATGTACATACATATATATATATATATATATATATATAATATATATAAATGTAAGTGAAATTTGCCAAGCTTTATAAATTAGAGTCACTATTTTCCAAAGATACAGCAGCCACCCAAGAATATTCCTGATTTTATGTGAAGGTAACCCTCAACAGCATCAAAAGAAGTGTACTTAAAAGTAGATGTAATTTACAAATATTGTGATTGCATATGCAGATGAGGCACTTCTTTCCTTGGTGGTTAATTGCATATATGGACACCTCATCTGCATGAACAGTTGTGATAAATTAAGATATGCAAAACGCTATTAGCATGTTTGCAAATCAGATGCTGTTCTTAGGGAACAACAGTGATTTGCATCCACCGTGGTGACCTGATTTTATGAGTGGGGTCATTTTAATCATGCTTTGCTGCAGATGTTTTTACAGTATGTATTTAAAAAGTACATATAAATAATGTGCAAAATTTTTAGAATATGATTCCAGATTTTCTTTCTTTAATTATTGGAAGCTTGACAGTGTAGTCAGTAGTGTATTATAAAACAGAGCAATGAGAATGAGAAAAGGGTGAGAATTTCAAATTGACATAATATGTTCCAATCCAAATACCTGATCTGTAGGAAGACAGATTTGTTTGTGCTTGTTTTCTATAGGATTGGAGTAGAAGCAGGAGAGTACTGATGGGCTGAGTATCAGAGCAGTCAAGCCTGTAACAATCTGCATATTTGATCCATGCTGTCCTAGAAGCTGTTTTACAGAGTAAGAATTCAGCACAGGAAATTGGGAAGAAGCTTACACATCTTCCCAATTGCATTTATGAGCAATTCAAATCTAAGAGGAACTGACATGCTGCTGGATGCAGCTTCATACCTGGTGAACTTGTGTCAGGACTGCATCTAGTCTTCCTGACCTTTTAATATAGCCAGTCTTAGTGATAGTGCATTTAGGTTTTGGAGCTTTAATCTTGAACTGGGAGAGAGAGTGCTGGACAGATTTTTCCAGTTCACACAATCCTAAGATTATAAGATGAAGAAAGATTATAATACATACAAGGATTTCAATACAAACAATTATTAAGCAGAGGAGTGATGGGAGGAGAAACCTGAATTTTGTCAACATCTCAAGTATCTCCCACAACTAAGTCTTCCAAAATGCCTTACCTGCAAAGGTGTTAAGATAGAAGGTTTTTATAGCATAGTAGTCAGAATTGTTGTCTGGGAAAAAACCAATTCGAGACAAAGGAGCGTATGTTTCTGATGAAAAGTCATTATACTCTTTGATGATATCTCGTCTTTCTAGCTTTCCCATCCAATTCTTCCTCTTAGCTATCAGTTTCCTGAGCACTGAAAAGGAAATACAAATGTGAGATGGCAGTTCACACAAATAGTTCTGTAAAAGCCGTATCTCTGTAAATTCACAAGAGCTTTTGCTAGATAAAATAAAAACATGACAGACCAAATGCTGGCCATGCACATCGATATTGTGGATGCAACCTATTTAGTTTTGAATAGATGGTAACCTTGTGAAAATAGAAGTACCTTGTCTGAAAACTGTCTTATACCCCTCTCTTCCTGTCTTTCAGACTTACTTAATGCACAGTCATGCTGAATCTTTCTTATTTTCTCTTCTTTAGCCTTCTGATGGTTTTGCCAGTGGTTGTTCAAGCGCATGGCATTCAGCTCATTTTGATTCTCCTCTCGCCTCCACAGCAGCTTCTTAAAGAGTTCCATTTTAACCTTCTGCAACCTGCAAGGAAAGAAAAGGTCAGACAGTATTGGGTGTACTCTGCAGTGTTCTGTGCAATGCTGTCACCATCAAATCCTACATACCTTTACAAAGAGCTCATATTGCATATCTCATATTCAATCTTTCATTTTAAAAAGGGAGTTAAGCACTGGTAAAATATATTGTGGTAGCAGACCTGTAGATTAATTTTAAGAAAAGCATCCCTTCCCAAAATCAGGTATTTTCACATAAATAGAAGGCTTGTACTCTTCAGCCAATCCCCTAAACCCTCTTGCTCCTTCTCTATTCATCCAATAATTAAAAGAAATAAAAAAGTATAATTGGATTCCTACTTATCTATTTCCTCTTCTCTATAGGCCCACTCCTTCCTTTCCATAGCCTCCATCATCTTCAACCTCTTTGCGACATTTGAGGGACTGTCCATGGGTGGCAGAGCTGCTTCCCAAGCACGTTTTTCCCGGATGCGGTCAATAATCTCCATCTCAGCTTGTCCTGCTGGCAGCCCCCGACCTGACAGGGACAAGAAGCATTAGCTCTTTGGGAGATTGGCAAATCCTACAAATAGCCACCACCAAAAAGTATAAGAGGGCTGGATGGGCACAGGCCCACGTGTTAAACACAAGCAGAACTGTCAAAAGCTAGAAGGAATACTTCTAAGACCAGTGAGATTCTACAGTATAGAGGAATGGTAGGACCTTCAGTTGCTACAGATCAGTGCACATTAACACTGGCACTTCATTCTTCTGCTGCTTTTCTAGGAAGACGCTTTCTGAGAATGAGCACCTTCTTTGGCCTGTGCAATGTCCATCATCATTACAGGTGAGACATGGGAGAAGATCATCACAGGTATATTCCGGGGCAGCAGTCTTCATACTGTTTTTTTTAAACAATGTTCAACTCAGAGCAGCTGAAGAACAGTGGGTAAATGGAATAACTGCTTCTAGTTCACATTTGTGAAACATGACCTTTTTATATTGAATGGTCTTCAAAACGCTTCATGAGAACAGCACCATTAAGTAGGGAAATATCATACTTATTTTAGAAACAGATAAAATAATTGCCCCAAATGCACACAAAAAAGCACCACCAAAGCCGGCAATAGACTTGAAAAGACAAGAAAATAAAAGAAATAAACTTCCTGCTAAAGAGGCAACATGATTATTGTAATTTATCTTAATTTCACAACTCACCCCAAGTGAGTATAGCCAGTGTCAGAATTTCAGGGACTGAGCCACTGCGAACTATATATTCAGGGGAGTAGGGATCTGTCTGTGCTTCACCATCCCTGTAATCTGTCTGTGTTCCCAGAGTTCGGAACATGGGGACAAAGACCCGTCTGTCTCTTGCAGCTGACTGGACACTCGGCTTTGTCCTAAAAAGAGGTGTGAGATGGAAGAAGATTGGTCACATTCATTAAAAAAACCTCCAAGCAAACTAATGAGAAACACATCAGTCAAAGGTGGGAGTCTTAAATGTGTTTCAGTTTATCTTAATATTACTCCCATTGGAGTAATAATAAAATAATAACAAATAAATAAATAAAAGAATATCATTATCTTTAGTAAAAGCAGACTGAGGCTATAGTGAGGCTGAAACATACTCCTTAAGTAAATAATCCAGAAATCTTCTAGTTTCAGCTCTCATGATTATTACATACAAATCTTCTCTACGTATCCATTCTAAAACACTGTGTTTAATGGACACAAAATTGTTGAAGTAACATGAAGTAGGACTGCTTCAATTTAGCTTACATGTTCCTCTTTCCAACAATTCCAAAATAAAAATTTAATTCTGATATAAGCACGTGCAATTTCCACTCTACTAGAAACTGAATTTTATTATGTGACCTCAGAATTTGGTACTTCCTGAAAACCACATTAAACTACATCATGGATGCTCTACATCTCTGAGCAGCATTGCATCTATCACAGAAATTGTAATAAAATATCAGAAAATTTTCCAACAACATTTCTGTACCAGAGAATCTTCTTTGCAATGATATCTCTTCTAGAATTCAGACATCTAGCCTTCTGTTTCAAGTGTCACAGTCTTAATACACTAGAGGCATGTCCTTTATTCACAAAGCACTACTTATATACTGAAAGCAAATTCTGAAACAGGCCATCACCTGTTTCCTCTGGAATTCTCAATGATCAGAACAGCTTACCTCTTAACAAGCTTTTCATATTAGTTCTTTATGAAAAACAGTGGTCACCAGCTAAATAGTTTCCTGATCTTTTTCTGGTGAGATGTTTTCCATTACAACAGTAATTCTTCACAAGTCACTACTTACTCTGTACTGGCAACAGCTTCTAGAACACCAGTTGGAGGCAGCTTAGAAGACTTGACAGGTCTGAAAAGAAAGAATGAAAGTAAGATAACAAGAATGAGCCTAAAATATTGTGATGATTTAGAAAAACTGCACTAAATTCAGTGGAGTTAATACTGATTTTCCACAACTGTGGTTCTGTTAGTTGAATGTTTAAGAATTGTGCCTAAATATTAAAGAACTCTTCCATAACTAAGGAGGAATAGAGGAAGTTTCACCAGTGGGACTGCATCTTATTCTTAAGTCAAAGCAGAAAGTGGAGTTGCAAAACAAGACAATTATTGAAGTTAGTTTTGAGTATGTTCCCAACATTTTGTATATGTTTTACTAATTAGCTTCATTTTTTCACTTCATTTTTGCTTTTTTGAAAGAGTTGTAGTGGTTTTTTTTAATAACTGCTTGAAATCCTGAAATTCATTCCTACAATCAGCTGATAAGCTGGTTTGGACTTAACTAATTTTATTGTTTCCTTTTCTGCAATACTTTATGAGCTATCTTGAAAGTGATATGGGCTCAACAACATATTCATAATTTCTTCCTAGGCATTCTTATAGTTTGCATATTGCAGTTCTCTATCAATTTCCCTTAGCTTTTGGGAGAGTTTGAAGCTCAATTTCATATTGCAGAAGATAACATCATTTTTGTCATTTTAAAACTGTTGATAAGGGAGACACAGTAGACTTCAGCTTACTAAACTTGGCAATTTTTTTATATTTAAAGTGGACATAGTGGCCAATAGCTGCTGAGTAAAATAGTGAATGCAATTCAAAGTGCATGTGACTGTCCTGGTTTAGGGGTGACTAAGTCAAGAATGTTTATATGGTAGCTGTTGGTTCAGATCTTGAATCCATTGCTGACCTGCAGTGTCCTTCTGGAAGGAGTAGAGCAGTCCTGCAGTAGGGGACATGGATGAAAAGTTAAGCAAGGCTTCCTTCTGCTCCCTTTCTGCTTCTGGCAGAAACTGGGAGTTAAAAGGTTCCTTCCTAAGAAAACACCTTTCTTGGGGTCTGGAGAACCACACTGGCTTTGTGCGATATCTTCTTCCTTTGCATAGGATAATCTACAGCCCAAAGCTTTCTTATTAAGTACAGAATGTCTGATATATTTGCTTATATGGTAACTCATAACTGAAAATTCTGTCATAGTGTGAATTTAAAAAGACCTTGTGTTTTAAGATATGGCTACTATTAAAATTTTCCTTATCAGTGATCAAAGAACTGAGAAAAAATACAGAAAAAATAATGCTCTAATTTTTTCTTGGGTGCTCTTTAAACTGCACAGAAAAAAACCTGACCCCTGTTTCAAATCAGTTTGTTCCTCACCGTGCAAAATATTTGTAGCGATTCCTTCCTTCAACTTCAGGATCTTCATACACAATCTGAGGTATCTGAAGAGAAGACTGACCTCTGAAAGCCAAAATACAGAGTATCATTTAAGAAGTACCTTCAGAGAAGTCCTGATCTTTTTTCATGATGCCCCTTTTTTTTTGACTCTTTCTCACTTCCGGTTGCACTATCCAACATGCTGCATACTCTAAATTCCCCCCAGTTCTCACACTTATACAAGCAATTTTACCTTGTTTTTTTTCATATTTACCTATGTAGCAAAACAGTTTGATACTTTATGTATATTTCCCACTATGTGTGGTCAAGAAATGGTCTTTGCTGCCTTTATTAAAACTCTTTTATGAGCTTCTTTGAAAAGGATTAACCACTTTTACAGGCTTGACTTTGTAAAGAAAACTACTTTTATTGGAAGTGGAGGGAGCAAGCTTATTATGTTAAGAATGAAACAGTTTCCAAATATGTGTAAAGACATAGAATGAGCAAAGGAGAAGATACTTTCTACCTTTGAAAAGCAGGTAAAGAGATTTTGAGCAAATGTTAAAAAATTTAAAATCAGCAATTTCGATTTCAGTTCCCCAGTAAAGGAGAAAAATTAGGACAATAGTAGGAATGTTTCAAAATCTATGCTGGAACAACCATATCTTTTGCAAGAACACTTCATTTTTTTTTCCCCCAGTTTGAATTTAAATTAGGCAGACTGTTTAAATTTTTCACTATAACATCTTGAAGAGTTTTCTTTAAGGCTTTGGAAGATCATATGGAAAACCTCATTAAGGCAGTGAGTGGGATAATGGGTAGAACTGAGAAATTTGAAAGCTTTTCATCAGGATTGCTATTTGATTTCACAACTGCTTTATACTCCAGTCTTACTCTTCTCAACCTGCACAGTTGTTAAAGACAAAGAAATAGAAGTTCTTCACAGAGAAGTTGTGGATGCCTCATCCCTGGAAGCGTTTGAGACCAGGTTGGATGGAGCTCTGTGTGAAAGATGTCCCTGCCCATAGCATGGGGATTTGAACTACATGACCTTTAAGGTCCCTTCCACCCCAGGCCATTCTATGATGATTTTATTTCTTTCAGCTATGTATATGGCTAGTCCTGAAGGCCAGGTTTTGCATAAGACCATAAGGCAACTTGTACGAATTCTGACGTTAAGGTGTATGGGCTTGTAGGTGCTGGGGTTGGTTGCTGATGCCTAATTTTAATTACAAAGGTATATTTACAGAAATACAATTAACAATACATAACATTGCTCAACAGCTGAGATCAAAACAGAGGATTACATGCTGAGATCAGTTGTCTTCCAAGCCTTCATCTAATTCCTGCAAACTGTGCTGTGGAATCTGAGGAGGGAGAGTATGGCTACCTGCCACAGGAAAGCAAGATGCTTCATTAACCTCCCATGACACATGATTTACTGCCAAGGTAAGTTTAAAGTCATCTCTTCCCAAGGCTTTCAGTCCCATCACATAAGAAAAGAGAAGGGAATATTTTGAGATGCAATGTCATAACCTGATATACTTGCTCAGCACTAATCAACCTATTATTCTGAAACTGTGTGTGTAATTCAAATGAGTTAATTGAGCTGATGGCTAGTTCCACTAGCTGACTCTTTACATATCAGACTGTTGCTCCATCCAGATGGATTTGTGTTTCATTCAGCACAGGTGGGCACTTATTCTTATGATCTAACTTTATTAGCATAAACTGTTCATCCTATTATGGAATAGTTATAGGCACAATGGGAACCCAGGGAAATAGCCCTTTTTATTCCACAGATCCTGCCTCTTGCATGTCCTTGACTTGTATTTGCTGACTTGGCTGAAATAAATGAGCATTTATTCCCAGTAACCTTGCAGAGGCAATGCAACTACTGAGAAGACAGCTGGGAAATATTCTGTCTTCCATATCAGCAGCACTGTCAATCAGTGCAGGCTGAAACAGAGGGGGTGTATTTCTTGGTTTTTGTTAATTGCAAGATATTTTGCAAATACATGTTGTTGAAATGTAAATCAACTTTAAAGCGGTGGAGGTGTCAAGTTGTTACAGAATTGAAGGTAAAATGTAAGAAACCACTGAGGTGTTCAAGTGCTGGGGACAGTTTGAAACACTGAAAATAGTATTAAGAAAAAAATACTCCAATTTTCTTTTTTTTTCTTTTTATTATGAAAATTAGAAGACTATGCCTTTGAAACTGAACAAAACCAGGTGTGAAATCCACCATATCTCTCTTGAGCATCTTTGCTTATTGTCTGGCATGTGGTAGAACTCAGTTACCAGCAACCCCAGAGCAAGCACCATCAGAAAAGCCCATGGTCTAAAGCTAGCTGCTTAAAACAGAAAGAGCCTTTGAAAACAAAATCCTAGGCTGATGTCTGCAGTCTTGAATACAGCTACAAGAGGACTTAAAAAAGCCTGTGGTGTGGCAAAAACATGAACTTTTTTTTTAATATCTGCTGAATCAGAACCCAATTTGTGACACCAGGAGAAAGCTCAACTAAGAAACCCCAGCACTAAAAATGTGGTGCCCTTGTTCAGGCCCCAAGCACCCTGGAAGGAGCAGCAAAAGCAACCTAACCAGCTGCAATTGCACGGGACTAAAATCAAAGAGCTCCCACTGAAGTAACACACATGAGTCACTGAAGTCTTCATAGCTCATCTGATCTGTAAGAGATTGAAATAACTCTTCTTTTTCAGGGCAACCGCTGCAAGGCAGATAGCACAGGGATGAAGGAATGTGCAACATCCACCCTGTAAGAAACAGATGGGTAACCATACTCCACAACAGCTGCAATCTCTTAATTTCAAGGGAAATATAAGTAGGAGCAAATTGCAGTCATCTCCACTTCAGCGTGCATGGCTTTTTGTTGGTTTTGTTTGTATGTTCATTTTAAATTATCCAACCATAGAACACTTACACAGCAAGCTGCTGAAGAGCCTCCAGGCGCTGCTGAGCTCTCCATCTTCGACCAGTATATGCAGGCACTGGATCTTCGTCCTTGAAGCACAAACTGCAGGCTGGGAAATGAATCAGTCCAGTAGCCATGCTTCAGAATATCGGTGCCTTCACCTAGCGTTTGTGTGGACACACAGAAGAGAGGCCATAATTACGCCACTTCAAACAGCATTAAAGAGATCAGAATTCCAGCCTGCTGTGATTTACAGGACTGCACATTTGGGATGGGGAAAGAAGGCGGCATACGTATGCTAATGATGTCAGCTAGTTGGATGGTTCTTCTCAAGATGTGGAGCATACCAGACTAGCAGCAGATGCACAGATTTGTCTTCTGGCTGTTTTCCAGTGCTAAACTTATACTGAAAACCAAAAGGTCTAACGGTTTGTTACATAAAGAAGTTAGTGTGCAGCAACTGTGAATGTGCAGCAATGTGAACTTCTAGCACATTACCCCATGTAACTCCTTCCTATTTCTAGTGCTCTAGAAATTAAGTAACATATTCCACTTGCAGGGTAAAGTTACATTATTTTATACTGGAACAATTTTAGCATTTGTTAAAAATAACTCAAAGGGAGCTAGCACACAAAAATGATCACATTTAACATCTACATCCTTCCTTTTAAGGACTAATTTCCCTGGGTAGATATGCCTTAAATTGCTAAATTTATGGTTGCAAATAAATCTTTGCAATTGTAAGTATAAGTGATGTAGCTCTATTGGCTTGAGCTTCTGTAAAAACTGAAATCAGAACTGAGTTATGAATTGCCCCTTTGATTTCAGCAGATGCTAACTCAAATGCATACAGGTGACATTTCAAGTACTCACCAGAATGTAAGACAATGTCAGTTGATGAAGATCTAGGCACCCTACCATGAGTAGCTTCTTGCTGTACATGAAATTGCATTTTTGTTCCATTTCTCTTCAAAAGGAGTTCAACTTTTGAGAATTTAGAATACCTATGAACTAACAGTATCACAGCCTCTGTCCATCCCAATTTATGAAGCTACAGATGAAGAATTCAAGAATGTAGGATTTTGAATGACACATTATGCACTTGCTGATTGATTCTAAAACATGTTTTATGCAAGAGTCTGCTACCACACCCATCTGTGCCATTACACCTGTGACATGACAATTTTAGTTCTGTTTACTTCATCTGGCCTGAACTGTTACCACAGCCATATTGTTGCAAGGGTCCCACTGATGACAGGCAATGTTCCCAGCTCTGTCTGCATATCTCTCCATGGAGAGGCAGACAAATACTTTTTTGTTTTCATGTAGATAAAAGAAGCATTCTATGATAATGGAGTAAGAGATAACCAGCAACATTCTTCAAAAAAATGCTCCCTGACTCCATTGTTGGAAAGCTGCTCAGGGCTTTTCTCCTTGCTGTACAGCAATGAAGTCTGAGTTCAGAATATCTGCCTTGCAGTCTCAGTCACATGCACAGCTTCAGCAGTGCATGTTTAAATCCAGTTTAAAATCCAACTCATTGTGCAGTTGCACCAAATGTGTTTTCCTCTGGCATTCTACCTGTATGTATCCTGTGCAGCTATCAATCACTCCTGTCTGAAGGGGTGACTGCAGCTCCCACAGACATGCTCTACCTGGTTTTAAACTAGCTAAGGAGAATACTGACAGCAGGGGAGCAAATGTAGTAGGAAGCCAAGCATGGGCTAACTAGGTAAGGATTAGCTAGGAAGTTAAACTTTGTAATTCTGTGTGAAGAATTAGCATGGATTTGAAGTCTTTATTGGCTGCTTAGATGTCACTAGATATTTCATTTTAGTCTAAGTAGGTGTAAGTATATCCCAAGGTAAGTAAACGAGCTGTGTGAAACGTCAGCTCTGCTTGAACAACAGCCCAGCAGCTGCCCACTTATTTTATTAGGTCTAAGTAACATAAACAAGCTATAGTTAACAGCATATGAAAGTAGTCTATTAAAAATATTGACACACAGCTTAGGAAATTACTCAGAGCATGAAGCTGGGTATTTCTTGGCTGCTGTTACAGAGTCACCATAGGCCAGCAATCATGGCTACTCCGTGTTGTCTTGTTTTATCTAAAAACTTCTTTCTCTGTTCTGTACTTTGCTGTTTTAAGGGAGCAGCTTAGGACTGAGACAGAGTTTCTACCCATGTGTATACAGAAAAAGACAAGGTGAACATGTGAGCTGTCTCTGGCCAACACCTACCACTCTATCACCAAGTTGAGCGTGGACATCTGACTTTGGAGGGTCCTTCTCACTTCACTGTGTACAGCGGGTCTGAAAGACAAGTGAACAAATGGAACTAGTTACATACTTAAGGAATCAGCAGGGTCCACTTCGCTCTTTAAAAGTTTGTCTATAAGAGAGTATAAAACAAACTAGAAAGAAAGAACTGAAATATATGTCTCTGTATCAAACAGATGTCACCATCGGCATCAGAGCTGAAATCCTACTGTTCTGTGGAAGATACCGGTGAAAAATCTAGTAGAAAAATCTGCTTCCTTTGGAGGCACCATCAATTAAACCGAAAACGTGATGACATGAAACATTAAAAGGAAGGCGTGGTGCAACGATAATCAGTGGAAATACCATACTGTACATGATGCTTCCCTCTGGGACACAGAGCTGGCCTTCCTCCAGCGAATGTTTCATGGTCCCAGCCTCCTTGAAGCCGCCAGCCCATCTCTTGCCCGCTGCTCGGGCGGCGCCCACCCCGTGCCGAGCTCGGTGACAGCCCCGGGGCCCTGCGGCAGAGGGGGACCCTCGGCAGGGAAAGCCGCGGGCCAGGGGAGGCCTCACACCCCGCCCCGCCCAACTCCCAACTCGGCCTTGGCCGTACCGGTGCCGCCGCCCGCGGCTGCAGCGGGGCGGGCCCGCGGCCAGGGCGCTGCCGTCCCGATCGGGCCCGGTACCGAAGAAGCAGCCGAAGCAGCGGCCGGGAGCCCGTCCCCGCCGAGCGGGTCAGGCACGGCCGCCGTTCCCATGGCCACGGCGGGCGGGCGGGGCTGGGAATGTGCCGCCCCTGCGGCCGGGCGTTGCTGCGGGCCCTGCCCTGCCCGGCCCTGTGGGCGGCTGATCGTGGCTCTGCCCGGGGGCAGCCGTGCCCCGCGGGGTTTTCCCCGTGCTGCTGCTTGTGCTCCTGCTCCCTTCAGCACCCGCCGCCCGCTTTCCGCAGAGCCCCGAGGCTTCGCCCTGCCGCCTCCATCTTGTGCCGCCTCCGGGAGAGAGGAGATGTGGCTGCGCTTTGAAGAGGACAGGGAACGAGCCAAGCCGGGAAAGGAAGGACATGTGTATTTTTGCTTTTCAGCAGCTGCTGCTGGAGTTGTTTCATGTGATGCTCCCCGGGACCCTCGCTTAGTGCTTAAGAAATCTGGTTTAGCAGTTACAGTTAGGGACGGGATTCAAGTTTGGATATTCTTATTCTTAGCTTTGCTTGTCGTCATTTAGGACTTCTGCAGCTATGAAATGGTGAAAGCGAGTCCAGAGAAGGGCAAGGGAGCAGGTGAAAGGTCTGGAGCCCAAGTCCTACGAGGAGTGGCTGAGGGAGCTGGGGTTGTTTAGCCTGGGGAAAAGGAGGCTCGGTGACCTTCTCTCTCTCTAGAATTCCCTGAAAGGAAGGTGTAGCCAGGTGGAGGTTGGCCTCTTCTTCCAGGCAATCAGCAGTAAGACAGTCTTAAGATGTGCCAGAGGAGGTTTAGATTGGACATTAGGAGGAACTGGACATTGGGGTGGTCTGCCCGGGGAGGTGGTGGCATCACCATCGGTGGAGGTGTTAAAGAAAGACTGGATGTGGCCCTCAGTGCCATGGTCTATTTGATACGGTGGTGTCTGGTCATAGGTTGAACTTGGTGATCTCAGAGGTCTTTTCCAACCTAATTGCTTCTCTTTTTTTGTGAAAATAGACTTGGTACGTACTGCCCAGAGAGGCTGCAGGGTTTTTTTCATCTGTAGAGCATCTCAAGAGGCCTGTATAAAGCATTACAGATAAACATCATGCTTTGCAAAACATTGCTGTTTCCTCAAGGAGGAGGCCATCCTTTTCTATAAGGAACAAAGTTGGAAGCTTCTTCATGCTAAATGTTAAAACTGGAAAGGGATAATGCTTTTGTTAACATCAGGAGATTTTCAAGCAATGCTGCCTTGGAATAGGACTCAAGAAGCAGAGAAATTGCAAATGGACCCACTCTTCTGTCTATAATCTTGAAGCAAGTCCCTTATGTTAGTTATTTTGTGTATAAAACTGTATATCAAAGGGTTATTCACAGCTTGTCAAGGCTGACATAAAACACTGGCCCCTCAGTACCTCATTACAGTAGAGCAACTTCAGGACTGTATTCCAAATTCCTTGGCTCTGTGAATTTACTTGTAGACAATTCAACTTTGAATGCTGGTTTACTTTCTTAAAGGCCCATCCCTTGCCTGAAGCAACAACTTTTTTAGGTTAGTGGGTCAGCTGAAGATGTGTCTGAACTAAAAAATGCTGTCACAGCTTTGTTCCTGACAGATGCTCTCTATATCAGTACATCTGTAGGATATGACTTCCCGCAATGGATTGATCCACACCCTAAAGATGCCCAGCAGGCTGTAAAGAAGAGCTTTACAATGTGATACCTTATTATAATTATTGATGTGGCAACAAAAGCCACTTTTTAATAGAGTTCCCTGGCATTTCTCATGATCAAATTCAATTTTCCTTTCTTGTATCTTATTTCATTAAAACTCCATGATTTCCATGCTGAAATTTTTCCATGCTGCCTTGGGGTAATGAGGTGTGTAAACTGTACTTTGGCCAAAAAATGATTCTTTGTTGGTTCCACCCTCTGACATTTTTCCACTTTAAGGATTTCAGAGATGACTAAATACAGGTCGCCTGGACCTCTTTTTTTCTTATGTGGAATGGATCCAGATGGAAACCAAGTTGAGGAGGAGCAATGGAATAACTAAATGAGTTCTTGAGACTGCTGCAAGATGCCATGGCATAGCCTGACAGATAAGTACTCTTTGGAGTCATATTAGACCAAAGAGGTGTAGTTCCACTATTAACTTTAACTGCATTAAATTGGACTAAATTTGAGATGTTGCCACATTTTCCTTTGCTCACCATGAGCTGCCTGG